TTTGTTTGGAGTCTGCTGATGGCCTGGAGAGGGCCTCGAAAGTGCCCCACCAGAATCGGATCCCTCTCCCTGATTTCGCTGATGCAAGAAGGGATCAGTTCCTAACTGCAAAGGTGCCGAAGCACGCGGTGGTGGAAGTTGGTATGGGTGAGATCCGGAGACTGGCGGGTTAGCTGGCGTGATGGACTCTCGACGACTCGACTGGCCATCGATGGCAGGTAACGTACGTCCGAACTGTCCCACATAGTAGTTCGACATGGTTGACATTGGGCGTAAACGAGAGTCGGTTCTGCGCAGGTCCCTAAGATCCTATACCCAACAGCAACGGCTTTCAAGATGGTATCCAAGCGCCTGCAAGAAAGCCAAACGACGTCCGAGGTCTTAAGGTACCAAGCAAGAGAAAAATCTGATAAGGAGAACAACACAAACGATTAACATTGTTTACCAAAAGGGGTATGATAACGTTAAAGCAAGAGAACAGACGGGTCGAAATGCATCCACACACACCTCCTATTGACTTTGCGAATGCTTCTGGCGTTGATAGAAAATTCAAGGATGTCGTAGCAAAATCAGTGTCATAAAAAAATCAAATGGAAAATGATAGATAAAAGCCGTATTTAAGCCCTCTTTGGATTGAAAGGGCAGATAGAACCGGGCTCTCTTCGAACCTCGTACTGGTGACAAATACCCTCTATCAAGGGAACTGAATCGAATATACCGAATGCGGAGGTGGCGGACGCCGAGTGAATAGAGAATGACTACCAGAACTGGATGATCTGTGACCAGCTTTCTGCAACAAAAAAGAACGACTTCGCGCCACACGGGCTCACTTGAACGCTTCCATACACTCCCGGAGAATGGAAACACAACGGGGAAGGCAACAGTTGGGTCGTAACCAATCTAGCATGCCACTGTCATTGCGCAAACGAGTCTGATACTCTGGCTTTTTGGAACACTCTCCCCATTCCCGGGATACTGCAAGATTCCAGTTGACTGTCCCGGACACCCAACAGTTGGTCCCGCTGGAGGAGGAGGGGGTGGTTAATTGTTGGGTCCGAATCCAGGCGGCACTGGGAGACGCCCCGATACGGTGGAGAGTAGTAGGGGTCAAGACAACGTCTTCTGGACACAAATGATATAGGGATAGCGTCGTCGGACTGCAGGCACTAGTAATGTCAGAACGGCAGGGAAACAAGCTTAGTGAGTAAGGATAAAGGGAAAGGGCGTTTGTCGAGGACAAATGGTGTCCGCGGCCGCGTAGGACAATAGGCGAATGAAAGACTAAAGTAACAACGAAGTGGGTTGCTCTTCTTTGTCCTTTTTTTTATTTATTTTTCTTTTTATTTTGGGAATTTTGTTTTACCAAAAGCCCTCTTCCGGCGTTGACAGTAGCCAACAGTGAACCCTTAGGAATCCATACGCACCTTAACCGTTCAGAGGAAGGCTGAGAAAATCACACTGCCACTACTCCGTAGAGGGAAAGGAATGGACCCTGGCAGTGATAGCGTATTCGCGGCAAATCCACAGAGCAATGCGAGAGGTGATTTGCTACTAAGGGCCGAGGGATATCGGGGGCCAAGTGTTCTGACGTTGAAGTATCTGCACTCGTACACAAAAAAACAGCCTCCCCTGTAAGACGTGTACTAAAGGGAGGGGCGGTGCTAGTGAGAGAGAAAGAGAGAGAGAGACAGGCGATTCCAAAAATAATCAAAATTGAAAAGATCAAAAAGATAGGCCAAGAAATTCAACAAAAAAATAAAGATAAAATCATAAAAGATGGACAACCCCAAAATTGAACGGGAATGGAATGGAAGTAAGAACGTGAGAGAGAAGGAAATCAATCACCCGATGGGAAAAGGAAAGAAGTATAGAGTCGATCGATTAAAAAAAAAAGAAAAGAAAAGAAAAAGTCCAGTCCAGCAGAATGAAAAGAACATTAAAATAATTTCCAATGGAGAAAAAAATAAAAATGATAATACTTTTTTTTCCAACAAAGTCAACTAATAGTAGTTCTCTTCAAATTAGACAGATCCATCAAATAAATTCCTTCGGATGATCATGGGGGGGAAAAAAGGGTTCAGTTTTAGTTCGATTCTCCTCGGGTTCTGTCAATCCACACGCACTATCTTAGCATTAACGGTCGACGCCCAGACTTCCCTATCATTGACGGGTCCCTAGGCTTTCTTTATATATGGCCAAATCGAGATAAGTATGCAATGTACTTCTGAATACGAGTAACCTTCCAACAAAGACGATCTCTAATCCACACCTCTCTACCCTTTTCATGACTTGCATACAAAGCGTTATTCAAAGATTTTCCTCATCCTGAAACGAACCTGCACGCCACAATGCCATACTTGTCAATTTCTAGAAAGCTTCGAAGGATTTTATTTTCCTTCTTTTTTCCCCTTCCCTAATGATCAGCAGGGGCACCAGTGTCACAGTCAAATTCGACCGCAGGAGTCACTGCCAAGAGTCAAGGAAAGACAAGAATCGTCATCGTTTTCTTCACAGACCAGCTTCATCGTCAGAAGTGTCATAAATCATGCAACGGGTTGATAGTAGTCTCCGTGGGATGCCCCATGAAGAACCGAATTGAGCTCCCTTTCCCACTCACTCTGTCCACTCTGTTAGCAATAAAAGGAAAGAAAAATAAAAATAAAATAAAAAAAGGTAAAGGAAAACTACCTCGGTGGATTTATTTATTTTTTTTTCTTAATTAACTAAAGTTTCTTTTTTAACGGACGACCCGCAATAACCTCTTTCGTACAATGCTAAGTATGGTAGAGACTAAAGATAGAGGGGAAGAGGGGGCGGCGGAGGAAATAAAAACGTTCCCAGATCCCGTTCTATCTCCAGAACCCAAAGAGAATACAAGCTAGAGGAGCAAGAAACTGGAGACCCGGACCAGACTATGGGTGACTGGTGAGACGTGGGAATGGCTCTGCCGCTATGGAGGGAGAATCTTCGGAACGGCAGTTGAAAATAACCTTGTTTTCAATGTTTCAATCAATGCACGATGGGAAAGGGACAAATTGTGGGTTTTGGTCCCGTCCGTCTACCAAACAACTCCTTTCATTTCCAGTTCTTGTCTGGTCAACAGACAACTTCCCTAAATTGATTAATTTGGATGTCTGTGTGCGAGGATCCAGAGCTCCTTGTTAGGCGACATAATCATGTGGGACTACATTTACCTACGTATATTAAATTTCGGCCCTAGCCGTATATGATATTGTGATTATTATCTCTTTTCTGGACTGTAACTATATGATATGGTATTAATCTCGAATATAATAACTACTAGTAAAATGGTAAGTACAACCTAAAATCAGTAAAGAATCCTTCGGCCCACGACTCGGAAAAATTCCTATACTTGACTTATACGGGGGGGGTACCACATGCCCACCGGCAAGTTACGCTGATCCATTCTATATGCAAAGTGGGATTAAAAAAAAAAAAAGAAAGAAAGAAAAGAAAATCAAAAAAAAAGCCTCGTACTATGTATTCGAATTTCGGACACCTCCGATTAACCCTCGAAACCTCGAAGAAAGGGAAGATCCTCCCACGGGACGGTCTCAGTCCCAGCCTCAATTAGTCTCAGAGGGTATACGTAAGTCACAGGCTCGGGAAGGTGCAGCAGAGGTACTAATAGCTTCAGAAGCTCAAACCATCGATCGTTCCATTGGACTGTTATTCGCGGGGGTCTTCGCACCAAGTGGGCTTAGGTGAAATCCGACAACCGGGCCCGAAGGAATCCTATTATCATTTCCATTAGGAAAGGGTAGCAGAGCATGTGTCTCGGCTCGGCTTAAACTACCACCAACTGCGTGCTCCGTCTGCTATACTGTTTTGAGTCCGGAGGAGTTCCTCTTTGGAATTCAACGGCTCTTCTCCGGCAGACAGCCCGTATCGTTCAGTAACGGCGTAATTGCAACTTGTCTCACATCATGACGATCCGATCTGCAATCCGTCAAGGTTGTCGCGATTTTCTACGTAGTTTCTCCTTCCTTTTTCCGACCAATCTCGAATACTTGAGAGGACTAGTATGGTAAGGCTATTAGCCGGATCTCCAATAACACAGGGTATTATTTTCCTGATTACTGATCCGGGAAACTCAAAGAAAAGTAGAGCCGTTCGTCGATCAAGGCCGACTGTATCTGCTACAAGCATTTCTAGTTCCCATGTCCCACGGTTAAGGCGGTTATTCTCCGTCAATTTACTGGCTTTCAGCGGGCAATCAGGTCCAACCCTTACGGAAGTAACGTACATATAGGGCTCTTACCCTAATTCCTGCAGTACTACCTTACTGCTAACGTGAACTAATTAAAAATTGAAAGGGAAAAAAGAAAAAGTCTATTACTTGGGAACGCATCATACGATTCACAGCTGATGGCGCTTACCGAGGGTCAAAAATCCCAGATAAAGCCTAAAAAAAAAAAAAAAAAGAAAGAAAGAAAGAAAGGTAAAATAAGAAAGTGTCCTTATAGCAAACGAGGCAGACACTTATTGGCACACTGAGCCTCGGGAGTTGACGAAAGTAGGGTTGATCCAGAGGGAATTATTTTCCCGAACAAATACCGAAAAAAGGTGAAGAGGAACCGACGGGTAGCCCTGAATGGAGCCAATCCTGAAGCAATAAGATAGTATTAACAAGGAGATCCACCTCCAGAAAGGAATGCAAAACAATAGTTGATGCTAGTTGGCCAAGAGTAGAGACCCTTAATCGGATAACCTTGTCGAGGAGGGATGTATCTAGTTGCCTAGTAGTACCAGACCGACGACGCTTTCGAGTCACGGCACTAAAGCCATTCAAAGCCGTGACTTTTCGGGATAGACGCAGCAGAGTGTCCACCTCGCCTCTGGTTGTTTTCCGATAGGGTCAATCCGCACCGGCCGGTCTGAGACATCCATGTAATTGGGATGCTAAATATTGGAACTTAATGACTGGGGTGCCGTTGGAGAGAGAACCAGGAAGAAGCCAAATCAGAAAAATTCAGGCTGATACATTAGGATTCTATTAATAATGGCAATTATAGTCCAGTACGGCCAATCCTTGTACAGCCATCACCCTGGTTCAACCAGTCAATCTATTTAACATCTCCCTAGCTACCCGGATCATCCTCCTAGATACTCTTTTAAAGCGGACAAACGACGATCCCGACGGCGATTCGAGCTTCTGACGTAGACGTCAGAGATGAAATAGAGATGAAGGGCCATGCCGAAAGTTACACCTAGATAGATCTTGACTACTCGGCATATCCGATTTGAAAAACGGGAATTTTCCAGGCGCATGTGTACCCATGGTTGCAAGCTTCTAACGGTGGCACCAAAGTTCAGTATGTGGAGCATCAGCAAAAGCCAGTCGCTTGAAACTCATGTAACAGAAATTAGCCTAAGGCAGAAGACAAGGCAGATACAATCAACGTAGTGGTACGGATCTGTACCAACAGAGATAATTGATAACAACGAAAAAAAGAAAGAAAGAAAAAAAAAAAAGAAGAAGAAAGAAGAAAGTAATAATAATAGATTAATAGAAAAAGCCTTGCGAAGCCCCTGCATGCATAATTGTTGCCATTGGACGACTGTAGGCGAGTGTCCTTCCTAAGTACTATCGTATGAGTATTAGGTACTAGTATCTACCTAGTTTATGGAGACAAGATGGATGGGATACAACATCAGTCGGAAAGGCGACAGAAAGAGGGGGGGGGGTTAAGAGGGAAAAATGGGAAAGAGACCAGGGTAATATAATAAAGTACAGGTACGTATGTACAGTACTATGTATGTATGTATGTATGAATTGATGGGATGTCCACTACTATATCACCTCGGCTATCAGGGAGCACGCGCATGGGACAATGGGAAACGTAAGTGACAGCAGATAGTTAAAGAACTACTTTAGTCTAGGCAAAAGGTTAGCTAACCTGAACCCTGAATTCGCTCCGGAACAGACTAGCGTTTTTTGACGACTAATAACCAGATTTAGTAAAGCCTGGGGGGCGCCGCAGGAGGACGGGCGGGTTCAAAGTTAATCGTAGGAACTTATGTATGTGGTCGCGGTTCGTCCGGTGCTATTTAAAGGCTAACCGAAAAAAATCCAAAAATAAAGTAACAAAAACCAAAATTTCTTCAAAAATAAGACTATAGAAAATCAACCAAAATTCTTTACATTTACAAACTTCTGGAGAAGTATTTTTCTTATTCAATTTGATTCTACTTTTTTTATTTGATTTTTGTTCATTGGTAAAATCCATCATGATCCATGGAACCGTTATTATCTGTTGAGTAACCAAGCGAGGAAATAGGATTCCGCACTTCCGCACTGTGTGAATACTCCGTCATGTCATTGCTTTTTTCCTCCCGTGCGGGCGATCATATCTGTAAGGACGGAGACCTATCTACACCGATGCTCCGTCTTTTATTAAGTTCTTGCACGGGACTCCCTTACTTTTCATGGTTACAACCTACGTGGTGAATAGTCACTGGTACAGGAACCAACTAGGAAAATATTTGGAGAGACTGGGGCTCGTGACTTTCATATGATACTGAGCTTTTTTTTTTTTACTCAAAGGAAATAAAGAAAAAAAGTGGATCAGCCACGTTCGCATGCTGATCTCTTCGTACGATACGGAGAGACTGTCTTGGCATTAGTATATGAAGTCCGTGAGCATTGGGAGGCTAACAATTAGTATTGACTTTCTTAATGCCGTAATGCCGTTTGGTCGAATTGCCGATTTCTTGTTATTTGTTTGTTTTTTAGGGAAATAAGAATAAAAGAGGAAAAAGATTAAAATCTCTCAACTAATGGAATGTATGTATATATACTAATTAGTAGGAAAAGTACTAGTAATATGTCTAGACTCCTTTAGGGCAGGTCGACGCACATGCAAATAACCCGGTAACTGATCCTACCAGATTACCGAATAATGGGAAAAGAAATAAATAACTACACCCTGATATTAATAAATAACCACCAAGGATCAAAAATAACCACGATGGAACGACGACATAGAAACCTGTTCACCGAGTATAATATCTTATAATATCTTACGCAATTAATATATTAACCCAAGACACCAATTTACCCGGAGCCAAATGGAGTCAGTCTACAAAAACACCAGCCTAAACCCGGGCCCCATTACATACTAACCAGATATTTGCCCCGATGGACGCTCCGATTCCTTCAAGGATGGTCGTTGTAGGCGAGCATGGGTATATATCAACCTTTTAGCCCACACGCACTTAAGGTTCCAAGTATACACTGATCTGTCGTTGATGCAACGCCGCGGCAGCTAACGAGCCCCTTATCGATATGATTACGTATAGCGTGCTGTGTTCAACTCACTCCAGGACAGGTGGCCGTCATGGGGACCGAAATGTACCTACCTCGGCGATCTACTCCCTACTGCCAGGCGTCCAAAAGAAGAGAGCGTAGGCGAATTACGACAAATTGCACTGATATTCGTCTATGTGGGGAATATCAATGTGTTTCTCCGTGAGGTACCGTCAAAGGGTCCATCCAATATCCAAGTGCTTCTATCAATATATAGGTTTCTTGTTCATTTATATGACCAGCAACATCCAATCGGAGCTTTCCTAGAAACAATTAAACTAATGTATACGAGCATGCTCTTGTTTCAATTTAAGTAGATTTGGGCTATGAGAGGCAAGCCTGGTAGTTGGAAGCCGAAAGATAAAGTGGGATGGGCCAACGCTCAGCCTCCTTCTTTTCGTCCCCCAAAGCTTTAACAGCCCTCGAGCCTATCATCATCCTCCCCATATACCCACCACTGTATACAGTCAACCATGGGCTAAGAGGCGGGTTCTATTCGATAGTTCACGTAGCGTGTTATTCTTGCAGTCACTTTGGAAGAAAGCCCTCGGTTGTTCACCTCGCTGATTCATTCAATGGATATCTCGGAAAACTATATAGAAAGGCACTAGTACCTAGACATGGAATAAGCTACTCTGAAAAGCTAACTCACAAGTTGACATGTAATCATTGTATCCTGTGTTTATGGCAATACGGAGTACAGTATCAGCCAATACCACGTCAAGAAATTGGACACGTCTGTGTGAAGGTAGCGTATCCACAGTAGGCCCACCAAATTTTCACCTCACGTATGACCAGGCTCTCTCTATAGAACCACCAAGTTATGGTTTTTCCCCGAGCAGATAAGATTCTTCAGCGTGAATTTTATACTATGAAGCCTCAGGATGTCATGTATAACAATAGCACGTGTGACTTTTCAAGTTCAACCACTTTGAAAATGCCCTCGCTCCGGGTTTATACCCTACCCTCCATAATATCCAAAAGAATAATGCTATAGAATCACATCCAGCAAGCTAGGCACTCCGACAGATATCTTATATCGAAATTGCAGGTATCTTGGAGAAGATACCCTCCCAAGTCGTCACAACATGCCGATATAACCCCACAAATCATGCACCTGGTAAAATCAAGGACAGACACTAAACACAATGCATTCGACCGAGCACCCCCGAGAGATGATCCCTCAACTGTTTCCATGCAATTGCCCCATCGTTCGACCACTAATTCCAATTATTCACCTCAATAGCTACATAACCACCCTATCTCCATTCGTCTCGAATGCATCAACTGACAACACTAATGGGCTACCGTATGCCTAGAAAGTTTCCTATCTGCCGTGCTGATGTCCGAATCAAGTCAAAAATGCCGAGAGCCGAGTCTCTAGTCTGTAGCTAGTCCGCTTATCATTACGTACTCTGTGCAGGAAACTTCTGTAGAGCTGTAGAGGCATTGCTCGGTTCTAGCTAAATATGACGGCTGAGCTATCTTACGATGATATACATTCGATCTGGTCATGAATTCTAGGTGTTAAATTCTCCGATCTGTTAGACCGTTACTGGCTCTCTCTTCTTCATAACACCCATCTGTTTTCTTCGAACTTCCGTCTCGCTTCTATTTGTCATTTCCCTCGCTGGGAAAGATATATACAGGATCGCGTCACCAGATCCACGGTTTCCAGTCATTCAAGTTCTGAGACCGATCAAACCATCCCTTGTGTCGATCGAGGGCATGAGAGCGATCAGTGCTTTCTTCTCTTAGTCTCAATACCAGTCGACCAAAATACCATATAGCACTAAGCTCGTACACACCTTGGATACTTTAAGCCTAACACCTAGTCTTCTCTGTAATCTCTCCCCCCCCTCCTTCTCCACACCTCCATCTTTCTCTCTCCAGTTCCCCTCCTCTTCCATTGTCTCTGTAATTCATTTATCACACCGCCAATGAATACCCCAGACTGAGTAAGTTCAACAGAGCAGAACAGTACAATAAAGTATTGCTCCAACATAACAACTACTAGCATCTACCCCAAACCCAGAAAAGCGATACCACCAACCCAGGACAGTCGACATTAGTGCAAAGTAAATCAGCCACCAGAGGATCATCATTCTTATATCGATCTCGCCGAGAAAGAAAGAATCATCATTTAGACCATTATTGGAACTAAATATTCTTTACATAATTAAACCCTACTTGGTGGTACCATCCACTATCGCTTGTACTGGACTCTGTCCTTTGATGCGTGATAGAGTGCCATTATATATATGGAATTGGGATAATGTGGTTTATTCCCTCTGGCAAGAGACGAGGGAATAATTGATGGTTTTTCAGTTATATGGGGTATCTTGTTGAATAGCGAGCGTTGTTAATATCTTGTGGGATATTCAAGAGCGATTTAGGGTCGAATGTGGTGAAACGTTGGCATCAATAGTTTAGTCCAGTACATGGTGTATCTTTGGGCCGTTGCTATGATATACAAAGGTATGGGAGAGTAGAGGTAGTGTTGGTATGGTATCTACATTACTGAAGAAATTGATTCGTGGTTGGACAAGAATTGGGTAAAAGAGATTCAACATGCTAATGGATCTTACTGAAATATGGTGTGAATAGTGAGTTGTTTGCCGGGGGGTGTATAAAATGTGATTGCTTCTTGATGGGCGATGCTGACTTGCAGCAGAGGTGACAAAAGTCTCATGACTCTTTATCACGTAGTGTCATTCGAGATGTCGTAGGATAGCGTACGTTGTCAAGGCACAAAAGGAAGCAAGTCTACTTCAGTCAAAGAGCACTACATTGGCACAGTGTATTCATACATTATCGTTAAAAGTATTCATGGGTATTGCAAATCCGTATTCATTTGCTGTGCTACCTTTTAACCGAAGTAAATCATATCAAACACAAAACCGAATCACCCTTTTAGTTCTCGTGAAGAGTGCTGAGGAACTCCTTGGAAGGACCCGCAGGCTTCTCACTCTCAACAGCCTTCTGGCCAAGCTTCTCCTTAGAGAAGGCAGCAGCGTAGGGGTTAAGACGGAGCATAACCTGCTTGTTGCGGAGAGGGTTCTTCTTCTGAACATTGGCG